AGAGAAATACTTTTAACTGATGGTATATGGAGGGGATTATAATCAATGTAATGAAACAAGTTATATGAATGGTTGAATGTGAAACTGATGACATGCCCTGTAAACTTTGACTCAGTCCACAATAGAAAACCTTAAATTTTTTAAAAAAGAATGTACCTTGTCAGTATTATGTTGAGTGAAAGAAGTCCATCCCAAAAGATTGTATATTATGATTCCATTCATGTGAAATGTATAAAATATGGAACTCTCTATATCAAGAAAGTGGATTTATGTTTCTTTAGGGCTACTAGGAATGGGGTAGAGGTGGGAAGCACAGGGTTTCTTTGTGAGGTGATGAAAATGTTATAAAATTGACTGAGGTGATGACTCCACATATCTGTGTATGTACTAAAAACCACTGAATGGTTTATGCTTTAAATGAGTCAGTTGTATGATATGTGAATTAATATTGCAAAAAAGACTTTTTGAAAGTTTAGAAAAAACACTAGGCAGAAATAATACCAGAGACACACAAAGAAACTAAATCGTTATGAGAACACCGTATAGCATGTGTTTCTGATTAATAAGGCTTATACAAGAGAAAAACAACTGTTAGATATAGAAACACTCCCAGGAATATGAAAACATTTTAGCATAATAATGCAGTAATAATATTAACACTTGGGTGGGCATCACAAAGAAGCACTCTTTGTTATGAGGAATAATTTATGTAGTTGGAATTTTTAATAAAGGGGAAGTCAAAAGCAACGCTGCTTCCAGTTTTTGCATGCCTGGATTTATTCCAAACCAGACACATTTACACATATTCTGACCATCAGTGGACACACTCCGCTTAGTCTCATTAAGGGGGCTTTCAAACAAAAAGTACATTCAAAACTGGCTTCCGAGGGCATCTGCTGGACCAGTTCAATTCAGGACAGAGAAGTCAGCTCAGAAGATTATGAAGACTGTGTTTTGGGAATTCCAAAAGGATGATCTTGATAGATTTATCTTAAAAAATATACGATATTATTATGTAGAAGTTTTAGGAAAATGGAAAACTGAATTGGTGAGCAAAAGGTCAGGGAAACTGCACTGAGAAATATTTTCATGAAGACAATGCATCTGTGCTCATTCTTCAAGGGTAGCAAGGGCTGTGCTATGAGCTTAACATTTATCATGCTGTGGGTTAATGTGCTGGACTGCAAAGTCACTTTGAACCTCAAGATTGGCAGTTCAAGCTCACCAACTGCTCCTTGGAAACCCTATACAGGGTCACTATGGGTCGGAACCAACTTGATGGCATTCAACAACAACAATCCAATCTACAATGCTGATCTTGTTCCTTCAGACTTCCCTTTTCTTCCCAAAACTCAAAAAATGTTTAAAATGGAAAATTATGTGAGCCCCTAAAGGATGCCATAGAATGCAGAATTCTTCTGATAAGCGTTAGAGAGTTGGCCTTCAGAAGTAGAGGATATGTCAGAAAACAATCGCCTCATGGTTTATTTATTTTTACTTTATAAAGGTTTCCTATGATTTTGTAACAATACTTTCTGGCTTAACAATTGTCTTTTCAGGGGTTAAACTATAGGGTATGTGTAAGTCCACAATCAATGCCCATGGAAGCTGCAGTCAAGAAATCAAATGACATACGGCACTGGGCAACTCTGCTGTGAAAGAGCTCTTGAAAGTATTTAAAAAAAGCAAAGGTGTTACTTTAAGAAATAAGGTATAACTAACCCAAGTCATGGCATTTCCAGTCACTTCAGATGCATGGGAAAGCTAGACAAGGAATAAAGAAGACCAAAGAACTGATTCCTTTGAATTATGATGTTGGCAAAGAGTACTGAATATACCATGGGCTGCCAGACGAACAGACAAATCTGTCATAGAGGAAGTAGAGCCAGAATGCTTCTTATAAGGGCAGATGGTGGGACTTCATCTCATGTATTTTAGACATGCTACACCAGGATGGCCAAACTTCGTCTCTCATACTTCAGACATATTGTCAGGAGGGACCAGTCGCTGGAGAAGGATATCATGTTTGGTAAGGTGGAGGGGCAGAGAAAAAGAGGAAGACCCCTAGCGAGATGGATTGGCAAAGTTGGCAGCATCGGGGGTTCAAGCTTGGCAACAATTGTGAGGTTGGCCCAGGATTGGGCAGTGTTTCGTTCTGTTGTACATAGGGTCGCTATGAGTCGGTACTGACTTGATGACACCTAACAACAACAACAACAACAGCACTTAATGGAATCCTGGTGTAGTGCTGCGGGGTAATGTGCTGGACTAAAAGGTTGGCAATTCAAGCTCAGAGTCAGAACTGACTTTTAATAACAAAACAATAAACAATAACATTTTACAGCATAACAAATCAGGAGGGAACAGTTTCTGGGAAAGGACATCATGAATGCTAAAGTAGAGGGTCACCAAAAAAGGAGTAAGACACAACGAGATGGACTGACAAAGTAGCTGGAACAGTGTGTTCCAACATACCACCAATTATAAGGATGGTACAGGAGCTGGCAGTATTTCATGCTCTGCATGTGTTGGAACCAACTATATGGCGCTGAAAAGCAACAATACCAATCAGCCGTGGGACTGGTTTCTAATCCCTCATTTAAACTCTGCCTCCATAGCCTCAACATATTTAGCCTGTATTTTTTGAACTCCTTGTTTCATTAAGTAGGCTAATTTCTTAATATTTTGAAGTTTGTACTTAAGAAAACTAGCTACCAGAAAAGTTGAAGTGTTGCAGATGTATCAGCTTGTGAAGCCTGATGCTGCTATCAGTGTTCACTATCTTTGAGAACCAGAACTTCAAAATCATCAAATTCACACTTTTATGTAGAAGTTAAGTGCTGTTGAGTGAGTTCCAATTCATAGCAACCCTTTCTTTATAAGGTTTCTGAGGAGCGGCTGGTGAGTTTGAACCTCTGACCTTGCTGTTCAAACAGACCTTGTTATTCAAACCATACTTGAGGTCCAGTGCTTAATCTCCACAGCTGGTGTGGCCCTGTAGGATAAGCACTGAATTGCCAACCTCAAGGTCAGTGGTTCAAATCCACCAGCCACTCCTTGGAAACCCTATACAGAGTTACTATGCATCAGAACTGACTCAGTGGCACTTAACAACGTATCTGATTGAGTTCTGCATGGTGTTGTCATGTGTATTAATCTCAGGTTGTTGTCTGCTGTTGTTGGTTCTCAGTCTAAAGAGCATCCTTTAGTAATTTTTGTAAAGGTGGTCTTATTATTACAAATTCCTTTAATTTCTGTTTATCTGGAATTGTTCAAACTTCTTTACCATTGTATTTGAGGAACAGCTTTGCTGGGTCTATGATTTTATGTTGACACTATGGTAAGCTTCTAAAGGGTCTGGAATGGAGAGAGTTAGAGGAGGAGAATGTCTAAGAATAGGTTTACGTTTTTGAAAGGTAACTGGGATTTTGTGTTGAGGAAGGTGCTTTGAAGAAAGTATAGTATAGAGGGAGAGCCAGTGGTACTCTGACCAGCAGCGGCAGCACCTGGAAACTTGTAGAAATTTAGATTTTTTTGACCTCACTTCCAGCTTTACTGAATCAGAAACTCTGGGGGTGGGACACAGTGGTTTGTGTTTAATAAACAATTCAATTGATTCTGGTGCATGCTAAAGTTTCAGACCCAGTGGACTAGGTCAAATAGGCTGCATCAAAGTTGGCAAAATGATTTCTTTTCACATCAATGTTTAGTTGATTTTGTTCATTTTTATGTTTTACAGTCACATTCAATAAGAAGAGGAAGTACCTAAGATCTTGTGATTTTATTTATTTATGGGAAGCCTAATACCAAACAATTTGAAAAGCCAGGATAGTGTGGTGTAGTGCTTGTAAAAGGCGAGACTGGCCAGAATCATGTGGAAAAAAGAAATTACTGTCAAATAGAGAATTAGAGTTTTGTTTTTTTTAAGAAGCTTAATTCTCAATGTTTTAGATGTTGGCAGCGTATGACATTGGTTTGTAATATGTTTAAATCTGTCACAGGGAAAACTGGCTGAATGCACTGTTAAAAATTGGACAAGTGAGCTCTTTGTGACGTTCAAAGAATGTAATGGTGGGCTTACGCCAGATATGTAAAGATTCTCATGTGCAGTCAGTGCCACGTAACTCTCAAAAGGTGGTCTACTTTCAGTCCATATTTAATCATTAGCCACTGATGTGCCTCTAGTTTAGTTGTTCTTTGAGGCTGTGAGGGTCCAGCTTTGTTGGAGTGGTTCAGAATAAATTTCCTGATAATTGTCCCCTCTTATTTCCCTCTGTTAGCTTTTTTGGGTGACCAAAAGTACAGATAGAGCAAATGCTATATAAATATCAAAATTTTTTCTTATAGGATAAGTAATCCTTTTTTTCCCCCCTTCAATTTTGTTCTAGGACCCATCTGTTACACAAGTGACAAGAAATGTTCCACCAGGACTCGATGAGTACAATCCATTCTCGGATTCTAGAACAGTAAGGCTATTATTAATTTTAAATGTTTAAATTGAAATAATTATATTTTGATTAATGCTTCTTTTTATTGATTGACTAAATTTATGTAAAACAAACAGTGTTTTATTTAGAAGTTAGCCAGTAAGATTTCTTATTTAAAATCAAGGAGTATCAGTAGTAATTGAAAATGACCAAGAAAGTCCCAGTGACCAGTGAAATACTGAAACCTAATTGCTAAATCTTCACTGAGCATGTAAATGACAAGTTGAACCATGTGAAATAGCCAATAGGTTGACCTATAAGTATGGCAGTTTCAGTCTTACAGTAAATATAGTGATATGTATGAGTTTACAGTCTGATGTTGTTGTTAGGTGCCATCGAGTCAGTACTGACTCATAGCGACCCTGTGCACAACAGAA